ACCCAATGCAGCTTGCGGAGCAGAGGCGTTACATGGGCCCTCCTTGGGGCTCCAACAATATCCCACGTGGCTGCATTCTGGACCAGCCGTAGCTTCCGGATACTCTTCAAGCGTACCCCCATGTAATGCTCATTGCAGTAGTCTATCTGGGAGATAACAAGGGCATGAGTGACTGTTCGAAGGGCATTATTTAATATTAGTCTTTTGCCACTTCTTAAATATTATTCCGACATGTATCTGGCTTTCCTTCAGCATTTAGTTGAACATTTTGAAGATACATACCATATGTTACTATTAATTTAATTGCTGATTCCAGAGGAAACAATAGCTATGACAACCTTTTAGTTAACAATATGGATTTTTTTCCTACCTAGAAGATACAGAAATGCCAAAAATCACAATTACAAAGTTGTTACTATCAGATGCCAGGTGATATTAATGGTGATTTCATGTATTATTACATACATGATAGTAAATTTGCCTACTGTTGTCTCAGATTTATAACACTGATGGATTTCTTTAGTGCTTCCTGATGCAGACAGTGATCATCAACCTATTCGTTATTACTAAGTCACTTTTGCTCAATCATGTCAGACTATTTCAGCAGAATGCATCCCACCAATTAGCTAAAACTGTTTTATCCCTTTTAACATCTGAGGGTTATGTCTTAAAAATATAGATATGTAATGCTGCTTCTAATACACCTTTAATATGGGAAACATATCATTGGTAAAGAATATCATATTTCAGTAGAAGAGAATATATGTAGCTCAGGGTTGAACTGTGGAGTCCTTGGTGCTCTCTGAGTTTGGTTGTTTGCTTGCAGATGTTTCATTACTCAACTAGATAACGTCATCAGTGCTAGTGAGTGTGGGGTTTGTTCCCTGTTTATATACAATAGCTTGCCGTGCCAATTTTGGTGGGGGTGTGGTTTTCTCCTTGCTAGTGCCTTGATTAGGGTATTGTTTTCTGCTTGATAGTTTGTCTGGTGGTAACGTCTGCTTATCTGGGCATTGGCTGCTGGAGAGGATCTTTTTTTTCTATTTTTGGATTTTCTTTTATAAGCTGGATGAACACAGGTGGTTAGGATTGGTCTTATTTAAAATTTAGAGTGAATAGTCTATCTTGGGATTCCCTCCCCATTTTATTTTTAAATGTTTAGGCAGTCTATGTTTGAAGAATTTACTCTTAATCTGGGAATCAATAAGCCCCTTATTTTCTTCTGACCTAAAAAAGAATGCAGTCTTCATATAAAATATGTTACCACAATATAAGGCTACAGGCATTCCCCACTATGTTCCAAATCCACCCACATTGGAACACATCCACAAAAAAGTTATGTAACAAAAAGTAAAATACAAGTAGTCCTTGACTTACGACCATTCGTTTGGAGACTGTTCAAGTTCAGCAGCGCTGAACAAAGGGACTTACAACCCATGCCCAAAGTTATGGCTGTTGCAGCACCCGCATGGTCACATGATCAAAATTCGGGTGTTTGGCAGCCTACCTGCACTTACAACTGCAGGGGCACTTCAACTCCCTCCACCCACCTATCTCCCCCCCCCCCATCTATGCCCTTTTGGCCCCCTGCTGCCCTGTGCTCTGCTGCCTCAGCTGCCCTTCACTGTCTTCTTGCTCCTGCTACTGACAAGGTGTGCCTGGCCTGGCCGCTGGGCCAGGCTTCACACTGCCAAAAAAAAAAAGCAAAAAGCAGCCCCAGAGCCACAGCATGCCAAAAAAGCCCCTTTGCACTGCACTCCTGGGCTGGGCTGGGGCTGGCTTCGCACTGCAAAAAATAAAAGTAAAAAGCAGCCCAAGCTGCAGTGCAGCATAAAGTCAGCCCTAGTCCGGCCCAGGAGCCAGGCTGGGCATGCCTTGTCAGCAGCAGGGGCAAAAAGAAATTCTGGTCCCAACTGTGGTCATAAGTCGAGGACTACCTGTATAAAAGCTCCTTATATTTATTATCACTTGAACACCCCTTTGTAACTTTCCTAGCATTGATCTAGCTATTATACATAACAATGATTCCTGCTTATGTCACAGCTGAAACAAATCTAACCCATTCATTTATCAAGCAACCCTTGTGATTGATGGATAATTGTTTTGGTACTGGGATCTGTCTCCCTTTATAGGGGAGAAACAGAGGTATGATATTGATTGAACCTTGTCAAGAAAGGACAAATGCTGGGTCTTCACATTTAGCCTGGTAAGGAGACTGCTAAATTGCATGTGACCTCAATGCAATGGATTTAGGTTCTACTTGAAAACCCATTATCTTACATTATTCTAGAAAATGAAGTTTTGATCTCTGCTCTTACTGTAGCAGCTAAAATCAATATTCATTTTTTTACCTGCAGCAAGCTTCATTTTTTTTCTGAAAACCTGGCAACCAAACAAACTACATTACGGCAATAGCATGCTTTATTTGGATAGAAATACACAGTTATTAACAAAACAGTCACTTCACTGAGATCCAGTTTGGTGCAGTGGTTAAGGCACCAGGCTAGAAACTGGGAGACTCTGAGTTCTAGTCCCATCTTAGGCATGAAGCTAGCTGGCTGACTTTGAGTCAGTCAGTGGCCCTAGGAAGAAAGCAAGGGCAAGCCAAAAATCTTGCCAAAAAAACTGCAGGCAGTTGTCCAGGCAGTGGCCAGGAGTCAACATGGACTTGAAGGTACACACAGTCAGAAAAACTTCATTGAAGCAAATGAGCGAATTCTAGTTGGCCATATTAAAGGAACTCTGAAACTTGATCTGGCTTGATCTGAAATCCGTCAGCTTATGATTACTGCTCCATTTTAAACTTGCTATGAACAAGTTGGCTTGAAACACAGACCAGAGAAAAACAATAGTACTCATCAGCGATGATGAGACACCAAGTACAGCTGTTGCCTTCTCTTTTCTTTTGCCTGGTAAAGCCATAGTATCTTTTGTACTTGGACTTTACAAGATACATTGGCAATCAACAGGTATATATCTCATTTTATGTCTGGTATTTTTTCTCTTTAATGTCATCCACAATTGTTCACCGAATTCTGCTCCACCCTTTACTACTGAAAAAGTGAGTATGAAATTAATTCCTAATTTGAGTGCAGTACTTGGGAATTGCCTAAGTTTGACACTGTTAACATTCACCATTGCAAGGACTACACAGGCAACATTCCCAAATGAAAGGAGAAATAAGTGGGTAGATTTTTTTTTAATTTGCAATATAAATCCAGTCCACTATGAGAGCATTCTAGCATCCAAAAATAACACTCAGGACAAAAAACAAAAAGGAGAAACAAAAAAAATCAACTTTATTATCTCAGCTCCTTTAAGATATAAGTGAGTAGCCTGAATCTTAGCTATGGAAACTGCTGTACCATGAGCAACTTTCTAAAGGCAATTTTAAATCATCTTGACAGAAAAACAGAATTTTCATCACATACTATCACAGAGGCAGTGAAATATAACTGAGGATCAATGCTTTTTTACTCCAGGAGCTTTATGTAAGAGTAACTGGAGTTATCAGCTCAGCTGTCCACTATGTTGTAAGCTTTGGGAATTTATTATCTGCACAGTTGTATCTAGAAAATTTTTTTACATTACATTAAAGTACATTACTGAAAAAGATTTCAAACTCAGTGCCAGCTGACATAAAAGCATTATTTTAGGAGAATAATTTTTGTAGAGAAAAGAAAGTCCGAAAATACGATGTCAAAATGGTAAAATCCATATAGGAATTGGCAGGAAGACTCCTAGACAAAATCTGGATTTGGTTTTATATCAGACTCGCTTAACAAAAAATGCAAGAATTAAATGACCAGCTAACATCTTCCCATCGTTAAATCTACAACTAGTTTATTTATAGTATTTCCACGTTCATCTTTTATTTTGCAAAAGAGCCTCTCCCCTACTGTCACCCATGTGTATCACAGATAACATTTGATTAAACGAAGTGGGCACAGCAATCCTATGGTGGGGCTGGAAATATCCACAGATGGAGAAACCAGCTTTTGAGTGATACAAAATTTATACCAGCAGTTAAAAAAAAACAAAAACAACGAAAGAGCAATCCTGGTTTATTCCAGTTTTCCCTATTTTCTTTGCTAATTTCCTTCCTGCTGATTCCAAACTGCTTTTGAATGTTTAGAAACCTTGGAGAATGCAGGATCCAAATGTTACAAAGAAATAAAAATACTAAATGAGGGGAAATAAGTTTGCCACCACAGAACTGACATATGTTACATTTTTCCTGGGTTGGCAGCGTACTTTAGAAGTGGGAGAGATCAGAATTCCACAACCTCCCTCAATCTGCCTACATCTCATTTCCTCACCCCCTTTGTTTTTATAACCCTGATCTTGGTGGACCAGCAGAAAGACAAGAAGTACAGAGGCTTCTGGAGAAAATAAATCTCTGCTTTGAGAGCAAAGTTCTCTCCCCACTAGCAAGCAGGAAGCAGATACTGTTACAATAAAGATCAGAGAAGAGGCATTCCCTCCTGTGTAAAAGAAAAGGATAATCTGGTGCTTATCGGCCATAATTTCTCTTAGAGTTGACAATCATTGGAAGCATCTGGGTGTAACTGACATTTTCAGAAAATATTCTCTTTTGCAAAATGGCTGCTGCTGGAAGCATTGCAATTTTAAAAACAGCTGCCCATGAAGGAAGGGGACTTGAAACTACTCCGCCTGAGATTTCTGCTTCAACAGATCATACATTGTATAGAAAGGCAAAATAGTAAGACCAAAAAACACTAAAGCATCCAGCCCTCAAGAGAGTGAGACAGCTAGGATTTCTACCCCAAAATACAAAAGCGCTCCAGTAAAATCCATATAGCACACTAAACCAATTCTCTGGCTGCGTTCACACAACTTAACCTGGTTGCTAAATTAACCATTTACTGTGTTTGTATAAAATATTGAATGATAACCTATTCAAATGACCCTTGCCCACAAACCAAACCAAAACGAAATTAACCAAGGTTAAAACTAAGCAGGGTTAGCAGGTTTGCGAATGCAACTTTTGGGTCTTTAGCTTACCCCATTAAGCATGTTGGGTAAATGTAACCCTCCATCCTCAACATTTTTCCTTTCCTTTCCTTTCCTTTCCTTTCCTTTCCTTTCCTTTCCTTTCCTTTCCTTTCCTTTCCTTTCCTTTCCTTTCCTTTCCTTTC